GGGGGTGACGACTGCCCACAGAATGTGGCATTGGCGGGGGGGCAACTGGCCGCAGAAGCTGGTGGCAGTGGGGCCTGTACAGCACTGTCCACGGCATCCCCCAAAGTTCAGGTCCCAGGGCGGTTGCCCTGATTCGCCCCCCCAACAATACATAATCTGAGAGATAAGTGTGACCTTTATCTGCAGGGTGAGCATAAGTAAGCCTTTATTTTGCTAGACAAGGCACAAATACAAGCAGATATAAATCAGTTAGCATGTGTTTGACATCTGCCATGAAGCAGCTTCTAAATTTGCTAATAGTGATTGTGAACACTGAGACTGTAACTTCAAATGGTTTTCTTAATCTTAATTCTCCTTTTCTTTCCTGTTATGAGGAGTTGCATGGGGGGTTTTTTTGTTTAGCCTAGATGTGGGCTCAGTGCAGGTGACTGCAGCGTGTGTGGAGCCAAGGGGGCTAGAGGTTGGGAGGGTCTTGTAAAGAATTTGTTGCTGTGGCAATGGCAAAATACCATGTGTATCTCGAGTTAGGCATGCTGCGGACATATGTCCTACTACTAGCTTTCATAGCCCATTTCAGTGCTATAAGCTTACACTTCATTCTTAAAATGCTTAGGCATAACTGTACTCCTATTTGACAGGGTAAAGACTTCACTTTGACTAACTGTTCCCATTGAGCAGGTTTCCAAGCCTGTTATGTGAAAGACAAACTAGGTAAAAATAAAAAAAAGCCTAATGAATGGAGAATAGTGTGAGTTGGAGATCACTTGTCAAAAGAGTTCCACGGTGATCTTTCTCTCCTCTTGGAAATATAGTTGAATGCTTCAGCTGCTGTCGTAAACAGGGCTAAACGATCCACAGCATCTCACTGTGGTTGACTTTTTCCTACATCAGGAGTTAACCAAGTTTTCTTTGTTGGGTGTCAAACAGTTTGGCTCTGTGTACACCAGTATGGAAAGTGTGACCAGTGGAAGATATTTCTTGCACCCTGGGTATCCAGAGACTCCTTGTTGTCAGAACAAGTGCCTTCTCCTTCTCGTCTCTTCTGAATTCCAAACCAAAAAGCTGAAATGAAATGAAAGTTTGTGTCTCTGACAGCGTGCCTACATTTCAGCAGTTAATAATCAAAACCATTGTGGTGATGATTTTTTTTAATTCTTCTGGGTCTCTGAAAGAGCACCAACAATTTGGACTTGCTTAGTGCCTTCAAAACATCATACAAAGGTTTTTTCATATTTAAAAAAATATTTGGTATTACTCCAACTTGCTGATGAAACTTAGTCTTGAGTAGCTCTGTGCATAAGGTTCTCTGTTTCTATTTGGAGCCAACCTAAATACACAACTATTTCCTATTCCTAGGAGCTGGGAAAATATGGTCTGCTTTATTACAATGCACTGTTCATGATTCTTCCCACTTTGGCCATTGCCTATTTCACAGGAGATGCGCAAAAGGTAGGACTTTTATTTCAAATTATGCAACTGAAATGTTTCAGTGAAATGTATATGTTTAAAGTATTCTTCTGCACTGCTAGAGAAAATGTTCTACTATATATTGCAACTTGCAAGTGCAAATGCAGAATTACTTCCTATGTTTTCTTTGCTTCCTTTTAATATTCACTTTTATACGTTAAGTGTTAAACTCATCTAAATTTGTCCTTTCATCTTTCCGTAATTAGTACCTGGCATCTACTAGCTAAACTGGTATATATTTTCACTCTTCCTATATTTAAGGAAGAGTGAAAAGGACAAATATATTCCCCAGAAGATTGAGAATTGAGCATTAGTGACCTGATTTCTGTTTTGAACTTTGAAAATTACTATATGCCAAGTATCTTCATGAGCACTAAGCAGTTCTCTTTTCCTCAAGAGAAATGTAATAATTAAAAGCAAGTACTAGACAGACTGAAATCCTTCTGGAGTAGGTTTTGTTGCTATCCAGACTATACTAGAAAGATAAAGTGCCTGTTCTTTTGTAAAAGGAATCACATTACTTGTGGTAATTCTGAACACTAGTATCCAGTATGCCTGATTTGTTAGTCACTGCTTGTGTTGGTGCTGGAAACCTTTTTTTTTAATTTTTTTTTTGCACACCTGTTTCAGTAAAATAGATTGGCATCTCTTCTTTCCAGAGACACTACTCAAGGGACTTTCAACTACAAATAGTTTGGGCTAAAAAGAGAAATGTTGGAACACTTGCATACCAATTGAGCATGTTCTTTATCACTGGATTTATTTATGGCTACCATTAATGGTAGCTGTTTAAAGAGATGTACTCACATTAGTGGGTGGAAATAGTTGAAGCGCAGAGTAATTCTTAATGGTGCTCCTTTATTAGAACCATGATCTGCCTGCCATCCTATAAACTGTTAGATGGCTCTGACTAGATATTTAAAGAAGACAAGCTTTTCACCTCCTGCATATACTAGTTGGAACATTTTTTATCTGTTAGTTTAATGGAATGAAGAATAATGCTGGCAATCAATCAGTTTAGATAATGAATATACAACTAGTTGTGAGAGAAACTGGATGTGGATAGAAAGAGTATTTTTGCAACCTAAGATAGATGCAGGGCAACTCAGCTGGAAGATATTTGAGGAAAATGTGCTCATTTATGAACCGGAGCCAACAGACATAAAGTAGAATGTCGACTCTGTGCTACACTGGGGAGTCTGTATTCACACTGTGTAGAAGTCTCTCTTCCCGGTTTTTTTGAATAAACTTTCTTTAACTCAGCCAAAAGGTTGTTCAGTGAAAGAAAACAAAGACTCATTCTTTGCATCTTTACTACCAGGGAATGCAGCATGTACAGGGCTAAGAAACTCACTTTCTTTTTTCTTTTGCTTTCTTTTTTTTTTATGATCATACATATATTTATAATTGTGTGCATTAGATTTTTTTTATCCTATTGTCCAAAGCATATAACAATACCAAAAGTTCCTATATTCTATGTTAGTCCAAGAATGAGTTAATTAGGTAATAATAAAGCATAGCCTCTCTGCGGGGGTGGCAATCTTTTACGCAGAGGTAGACAAAAATTGGATTTCTGTGGAGTGAAAACCTGTCAAGCAGGAGGATTTGTAATCAAAGTTGATGGTGTTTTCACCATCATTAAAGTATATAAATGATTTGTTGTCATTAAACACAGGATTTCATTAATTTTTGTCGAAGATATTGACAGCTTGTCATGCCCCCAGCTATACAGCAGGCAAAAATAGCGTTCTCCAGTGCAGGCAAAATAAACATCTAAATAATTCATGGTAGTGAAGTGAATAAATCCTAGTAAAAGAAGAACCCTTCTCAGTCAGTTGATTCTTCTCTGCACTACCTATCCTGTAGAGCAGGAGCGGACAGAAAATGACCTGTGGGCTGGATCTGGCCCGTCAGGCACTTTCATCTGACCTACACTGCCCCGCAACAAATTGCACCCCACCCAGCCCTTCCATCCGTGAGGGTAGGAGCGAGGCACCCATGCATACCCCCCCCCCCCAACATACCTTATTGCGCCTTGCTTCCACCCTCGTGAGCAGATGGGCCCAGGCCAGACAGCACACTGCTTCTGGACAGGACTGCTGCTGCAGCCACCGGGATCCTGCTTGGCTTCCCTGGCATCCAGCTTGCTCTGCGCAGCAGGTTGGGGTGGGGGCAGAACTGCCACTGGGTGGGAACGTGGGGCTGGTGCTGGCAGCAGTGTGGAGCCCAGGGGGACAGTGGCAGCATGGAGCTCAGGTGGGCAGGGTGTGGGTGTGAGGACCCCCCACACACTCCTCCCATGGCCTGCAGACAATGGTAGCAGCAGCAGGTGGGGGCACTCGTGGCTGGTGCAGGTGCTGGTGCCCAGCAGCACATGACTCTGTCCAGTACTGCACATTGTGGCGAGGGGCACAGCCGCTTCTGGCCAGTCTCTGCTGGTGCTTCCCGCCACGCATGTGCAGTTTCCTTGTTCACGTGGCATGGGAGGAAAGCCCAGTGCACTGGAGTCAGCACCTGCACCACTCCCCGCAGGTCCAGGGGTGGGGAAGGCAGCCAGCTCCAGCACACAGGGCTTTCCTCCCATGATGCGTGAGCGCAGGGGCTGTGTGCACATGGTGGGGAGTGCCACTGATAAGAGACTGCCCAGCGGAGGCTGCCCCCCTCGCCGCAATGTGCAATGCTGGCCACAGCCATGGGCTGCGGGCACGAGGGCCCTGAGCACCTCCGTCTGCTGCTGCGCCATGGGAGGGGTGTGGGGGGTCTCCACACCCCCACCCTCCCTCACACCTCACAAATGCCACACACCCACACCCTTCCCCCACACCCCCCAACTTACCCTGTGCCCCTCATACACAGTCACACATGCCCCCACCCACAATATACAAGACTAAGAATTTATTTTTAAGTCATTATGCAATCATCTCTATATACATTATGCAAACACAAATCAAGGTAAAAATACTTTCTGTAATAAAATTAAAATATTTTATAGTAGGTGTTTGACTTCTAGTACATCATTTGATATTTTGTTCTGGTTCTAAGATGGCAACACCCCTCTCCCAAAAGGAGTATTTCCAGGGGGGCAAGAGGAGGGAATTCCAGTGGCACAGGTCAGGGTTGGGGGCGGGACTTCTGGTCCCAATATGGTGACCAGGGGGTGGGGCTACCCATGCGGCCCTCGAAAGCTCATCAAACCTCATTAAGCAGCCCTCCATCTGCAATAATTGCCCACCCTTGCTGTAGAGCATACTAAGGTATTGCTGCAGTTCAGCTTGGCTACCTTAGGCACTGCTCCCGGTGCAGCTGCGCCAGTACGGCGCTCAGCATAAGCTGACAGTTTATTAACCTTACTTCTCTAGCAGGTTTTGCAGCCTGGGTTGAGCTCTGTGCTGCCACAGCTGCACTGGGAGCTGTATATGTGCTAGATGGATTCATGACAGCTCTGATGTGTCTCTATGCGCTGCATTTACACCTTGACTACCATCTAGAAATATCCTAAACCATCACAGAGTGTGTGTTATGTGGAGAACTTGCACGTGCGCCTCTGAGGCACTCTGGTAATTTGGCATTAACATGTTTTCCAGGACTTGTTGGGTGAGACAGGGATGGGGAGAGGGGAGTGTTGTTTGCTGACTACAGAGTAGAGATTTGTGTATGTACTAATACAATAGTTCAGCTGGAACAGAACCAGCTTGGAACAGTATTGTTAAGATATGCAAGGAATATATGTAGCAGAGATTTTTTCCTGTCCCGCTTCTAGCTGTGCAGTCTTTGTAAGCACAGTCAAAGGGTATTCATCTACTAGCAATGGACTATTAAACATTTTGAAATGCCTGACTCGCTTTGATTTAAAACTGTATGATTTAAAACAAGACCTTTTGCTCAGAGGAAAATATCTCACACTTGGTACTGCAGCATGATCATTAGCAACATGTAAATCTGCTTCCTTATTCACCTTTGAATCAGATTCCTTTAATAGTTGGAACAACGTAACATATGCTTTCCCATTTCTTCCCTGCAGCCATTGACCCATGGCCAAAACAGGGGAGGGAGGTACTTTCTGTGTCCCCTCTTGCATCCAGTCCTAGCTCTGTCTGTGTCATTAAGGGAACTTCTGCTTTTCTTTCTGGTCCAGTATCAGTCAAAAACTTGGACACAGCACAATTATTATTGCAGCTGAACAGAACAGTGTAAACTGAAAGAAAAGGTCCCTTTATTAATAAGTTAAACCTGATGCTTCTGAAATTTTTCCTGTGAATTTAATGCTTGTAGCTTCTTCCATTGGAAAGTGCAGTGAGGAACCAAATTGCACTTCTCCTTATTTCAATGCAGGCATTGTAATTTACTTTATGAATCTGCTCGACAACGAAAGTGGATTGTGTAAAGTTGTGTTTGGTCTTAGATGCTTTCTACCTTGCAGAACTGCTTACATGAAACAGGGTGGCATTATGTGGCATCTGGATTATTGCATAGTATAGGGATCTCAAAAACATGTGTATTCCTAATGGGATGCAGACTATGGAACTTCATGGCCATGTGAACAAGGATAAGGTAGGTATTACTGTTATCCTCTCAGCTGTAAAATGGGATAGACGCTGCATTTGTAAAATGAAAAATGCATGTTCTTGGCACTATTTCATAATGCCACGTGCAGTGTTTTGGTCATCTATCTAGCACTTTCTGCTGTGGGGTTGACCTTAAAACAGGTAAAGAGGTACTAAATATAAATTGTTTTAGGCTGATAGACATCAAATTGCAATAACAGTATTATCCACTATGATTGAATAATAGAAAGTTGTTTTCTTGGACCCGTAGAGGCAAACTTCATACAAAGTATTGAAAAGGGTTTTCTGAAACTTGCTTCAGAAAATTCCCATAAAGGTATGCACCTTAATAAGTTCTCTCTCACTCTCTCTCTATCTCACTCACTCGCTCACTCGTGCGCACGTGCGCGCGCACACACACACACGCATGTGTTAGGTTTTAATATACAAGGCACTGTAAAGTAGAAAACTTTTATTTTTGGCTACAGAGTGCCTGCTTTATTTGCTTTTTATCTTATTACTTTTTAAACTACTTTAGTATCATAACCTTTTGGTTCTCTATTTAATTTTGGACATTGATGGGAGACTTAATTTCTCATGAACCTCTGTATCATTAAGAATATTAACTTGCAGTTTTCTACACTAGCTTTGTCTTACACATTGTAGGAAAGCTGGTTCTCAAGAATGTAATCTTGTACATTAATGCTTTTGTCAAGTAGTGTCCCTTTCTCCCTTCTTCATGGGAAAGGTGGTGAGTGGAGTCTAGTAGCACTTTAAGCTTGGTTGGCATGTTGAAGCTTTCAGAGTAAGAATTCAAGTGAAGACAATACCAGAAGACAGTGCTAGGATCATTTTGTGGGCTAAGACCAAACTTCTGTGGTCATGCTTTAGCTCTAGCCTTACTACAGCAGAATGTTACAGTATTAACCTTTTTTGCAACATTTGTTTCTTTCAGGCAATGGAATACAAAGGCTGGGCAGATACACTCTTCCTTATACAGTTTACACTGTCGTGTGTAATGGGGTAAGTATTTATTCAACCATCCTGTTTGTTCTTCTTTCTCCAAGTAAGGTTTTCTCCTATTGTAACTTTTCCAACAAATACTAAGGAAGCCTCTAGCCTTTAGTTTTTTCACTAATTAGCATGTGCACACGTACTGTGAATGTCTGTTGTACCCTCAGAGATAGTTAGCTGTGTTGGCCTGAAGTTAGGGAGAAGGCAGCGTAGATTTGCATCTTGTAGACCAGTGGTTCTCAAACTTTTTGAACACGAGGCATCCCTCCATAACTTGTGAACTAAGGGCACCCAATTTCAAAGAAGTATTTTATATATTACAGTGCTTATTTCCTTGGCAGTGGGCATGGGGATTGTTCAGATAGGGACAAGCCTGAGCCTACAAGTATCTGCTTATCCCTTTGCACCTTGTGCACCCTTCGAAGGATCTGGCAGCACTCCAGGGTGCTCTGACACCTTGGTTGAGAATCACGGTTATAGACTAACTAAATCAGAGATGTATTCCCTCAACCAATATAGCTGAAGTTTTACTGGTTATAAAGTGTCAACTTAAGTCCAGCTTCAGTGCTGGTAAAAACAAGTAATTACTAATTAGTAATTACTTTTTTGGGGAGCTCATTGCTAAAATTCTATCATATGCTGCCTAAATGCACCTTAACTTGCTAAACTACACTAAGCTGAGAATTTCTGTGCTGCTCTGTAAGCATGGCATTTCCTAGCATGTTGCCACCATATGTCACATAAGCCATACCTTTGGTTTCAGAGGCTACTGCTGGTTCTGATTTTTGGTGAGACTCCAAATCCATGATGATGTATTGATTTTTCTGATATGTAGTGGTTTTTATAAGCAACATGGCATATTTTGACATTTCCTTTTACACAAACGGGCATGGTCCAACTGATTCTCTTAGCTTTGTTCACTTCTAATTTGAGTCCACCAAAAAAGATAACCCTGCAATTGTCTTGTTTTACATGCCTTAAAGGGTTAAACAGATGACATTCTATTGCTACAACTTCTTGGTTTCAATAAGCACTGTGTGTATGCGTGTACATGTAAACTATACACTTGCAGGCACACATTGTTATAAATAAAACTAAATTACTCTCTTAAAACTAAAACCTGGAGCTCGCTGCAGTATATGTGAATTTTCTGGTATATTTTTTGCTAACTTGAATGGATCAGAAATGGCCTGTCCTGTTAATGTGTGGGTCCTGCAGTACACCAAGTAAGGGTGTACAAAAGGTATTTGCCACGTGTTGTGGCAGATCATGTTGCAACCATGTGAGTAATGTAAGTTGTAGCTGATTGGAAATTTCCCAAAGAATATTCTTTAATTGGAAAAGCCTCAGTTTTGAAAGCAGTTTGTTTTGTGGAAATGTATTGCTTTTGATGCATTAGAAGACTCAACAGAAGCAGATGGCAACATTTGCTTGCCAGACACATTTCTGTCATAACTTGTTGTTCAGATTGGGTCTCTTGGGTAGGGTTGAAACATTCTCAGTGGAACCAGGAGCCTAGCGATCCTTTGAGCTGCTTTGTTCCAGGGTGGCCCTACCATATGTTGCCTCTGGTTCAGAGACATTCAGAAGTCCAGAATTCGGGTCCTTTCCTTCAAGCAGCAAGAGTTGTACGGCAAGAGAAGCTGGCTGCCACACAAGACTGGAAGCCCTGAGATCCCTGGTCTGTGCTCAGTCAGTGTGGTCTGGCTGCCATGCTGTTGGGGACCTCAGGCTAGCCACTGCTATCTGGTGTGGCACAGCACTGAAGATGACCAGGACTGTGTAACACTGTCAGCATCTATCAGGGATTTCAGGGCGTATATTTTGTTTCTGAAACTTCTGTTTCACTATTTCTAAAAGTGATAGTTTCCATGTTTCAGTTAATGTTACCACTTTTTGGTGTATTTGCCCTAGTTGATATATAACATCTGAGAGATCAGAAATCATGGCAAATAGACATTTGGTGTTGCAGCTAGCTCTAATGCAGGTCTTGCCAGACTAGCAATAGAAAAAGCATCTTGTCAAATTAACAGCAGGAGAGTAGACAATGGCATTTCAGTTCTGAATTTTTTTCCTTCAGGTTTATTTTGATGTACTCCACTGTTCTTTGCACTCAGTATAATTCTGCTCTCACAACTACAATCGTTGGCTGTATTAAGGTAAGTTATACATATTTTTTTTAATATGTGCATGGTTTTCCCTTCTGTTACAATGATAACTGTACAAAGCTTGAAAAGCATATCATAATTGGTATTTTTTTCACAACCTTCTGTTGAGATGAAAGGATTATCTGTTTAATGTGTTGAACGTGAAGTAATTTTAACCCCATGCTAACAAAAAATAAAAGTATAGGGCGACAGAGAAGACCAGGCCAAATTTAGAGATTCTCTCCCAGGAATCCTGTCATTCAGGGATATGATTCCCCTGTTGACAACATTTCAGCTATGGGGGCTCTCCACTGCATGGGTAGGAACCACAATTAATTGTGAGTTTTGCTAGCTTTTAATGCTGAATAAAGTGCTTGGCCTTTTTTTCTTTTATTAATACAAGTGTTCTCTGACACTTTTCTTTAAATCAGTTGATAAGTCTGCAACACACTTTATACTTTTTAAGTATTGTTTTGCTATGGAGCAGACCGTTCTCTCCACCAGTAGAATCCTGAATACAGGATAACTGAAACCAGTTTTTATTTGGGCAAATTAATTGCTTTTGATGCATTGGAAGATTCAACAGAGAAAGCCTTAGAAACTGGTACCTGAGGAAGGATGTCCTGCATTCAAAATCTTGTCTAACCATCCCAACTATACAGTTGGTCAAATAAAAGATATCACCCTAGAAATCCTGGCCTCTTGCAAGATTATTTTTGAAATCTTGTCACTGATGATCTTGACATTTAGTGAAGGTACAGCTTTGCAGCAGTTAAAGGCTAGAAGACTGCCACTTTTTAATGCTGTCTAGTGATATTTTTTGACATCCTAGCTGTCTTTTTTGCTTCTGAATTTTACTTACAATGTTGACTTAAAGGCATATGGTAAACTGAGGTATTGCTAGTTTTCAAGGTTGTATTTTTTCTTTCTATGTTCTTGCTAAAGGTAGAAGGCAAGCTCTTCCAGTGGTGTCCCCAATTTCAAATATCAATTTCTGACACTACTGGTTTTTCTTCTTCAGGTTTTGGTAGCATTTTAATCTAATATATATGCAGCTTGCTAATGAAAATCTAGCAGAATTGCAGATTCATATTCAGTTTTTTAGCTACTGCTTTTTTTGTTATGGCAGGAGAAGTTTGACTCATTTCTTTTATTCAGTTTATTGCCCGAAAAACTCTTTAATGCTCTCAGGCTTTAATAGGAACTGAAATTATGTTTCAAATGAATATAAAAACTTATTTTCTAATGAATCTTTCAGCTTTTTTGATAGGTTTGGGTTTTTAAATTAAGCGATTCTCAAAAGAGTGTTTAACCCTCATGGCCACCCAAGAATGTATTGTATTGTCTTAAAGCATCTCTGCAAGTATTAACTTCCTGAGTTTACAAAGAAATTGCTTATGCAATTTCAATTGCTGGAACTGTAAAAAGCTATACCATAGTCTTCTACTCCATACTGAAAGCATTTACAAAATGCCATCACCAAATAAGTGCATAAAATCTTGACCTTGTATGAAATAAATGGAAATATTTATTTTTACATGGAAAGATGAAGTTACAGGTAATCAAAACTCCATTACATCTTTACTGTAACTTACATGTGTTTTTTACCAAGTGAAAAAGCTGGAGACTGATCAAACTGATTTCTTTTATAAATATTTCCAGGATTTTTTTATGAGGTAAAGGTGGACTTTTTCAGGTAGTTGGTCACTAATAGGATTTAAGTTCCAGTAATATAGGTTCCTAATTCTAGGCTTTTATGCTTTGAAATCTCATTCTGTCCAGCAAGGACATAATGACCTTGGTAATGTTATGAAGGTCTCTGTGACTCAGCTAAAAGTGAAGCAATTATAGTTTGAAATAGGGTAGTTTCATACTACCCGACAGAAATTGTTAGTAAAAATGCAGTTTTAAATCCCAATGCTGTACATTGTTATGCACATATATAAGTAAAGGTGAAGTTGAAGGCAATACTTGTGACAATCATGCACGTAAGTGTTTGGAGGATCAAGGTATTTTTTTTGTATGTTTTGCCTCTAATAATTTTTTAAAATTTCCAATAAGATCCCCTACTAGTGGTCCTGCCCTTTTTTTTTTTTTTTTTTAAAAGCATTTAGATTTAAAAAAAGTTAAATTATAACATTCCAGTGTCATAGCTTTTTCTAATTTTTTTTTACCAAGCTTAATGTTGGCATAAGTCATTCCATGTAGATCAGTGCTTTCATTTTGACCCGGGTGACACTCTGTGATTGTCTTCTCCAGTCTAGGTGTGAAGCTTGCATTCTCTGCACTGATGGTCACTAACAAGGGGACCTTAATTGTACCTCATGTTAGATTAAAAACCCCTCAAAATAACTCCCTTCTGCAGTCCACTTAAGTTAACCATTTATACTATAAATTACAATTTGACATTGTTGGAGATTTGTCTCTCTAATTTTGGACTGTCTGTGTGTGCATTTGTGAGAAAAGGTGACATTTGTCTTTAAAATATTTTAGTTAAATGATTGAGTGTCTTGGGATCAGGCACCTAGTTTGTGGAATTTGTTTACACAATAATATTCAGATGCCAACATCAGTACTCAAAAGAATCGCAGTAATCTAAAGAGTGCTATTTTGATGTTTAGCCACGTTAGTTTGAAGTCAGGCAGAAGGTAGGGTAGAGATGCATCTTATAGGCTAACTTAGTACTATACCCAAGTAGTCGGTAGAAGCATAATTTTGTCTCTGGCAATGTATGTGATGCACTTATATGCCAGGCAGGGGCAATTGTAAGACTCTGCTTATGTTTGTTCAACCACAAGCTTAACTCTAATAATGTAATGTAGTTGAAGTAACTGTTTTCAGTGTCGTTGTGGTCTGTGCACACGTAAATGCCTAGGTATTGTCAATAGATATTTTAGGTCGCCTAGTCCAGTGATTGAATGGCTGATGCACATAAGGACGTTGATACAATTGTTCTTCATGGGTGCTGTTGTAGCTGTATTGGTCTAAGGACATAGGCAGACAAGGTTCTTTGGGTAAATCTGATATCTTTTATTAGACCAGCTCAAATAGTTGGAAAAATTCATCTTTGCAATTTTACCTGAAATCTTGCAAAGAAAAAAATATGTAGAAAAAACTTCTAAAGCTGTGTCTGTGTCTGAATTGCTGATTCTCCGGATCAGCATCGAATCTTCAGATTTGGATTCAGCCAAATCAAATCAGGGACAGCGATCCAAATCAATGAATCAAATCATTGTCCCTGATTTGAACTGAAACCAAATGGAATAGGGCACAACACCCCTAGTAGTCACTTTGTGATGCCTTAAATGGGAGGACATCTTTGCTTATTGTATACTCCCCTGCATGGGAATACGTGGGGTGTATATCAGGCTGTTGTGCCTTGACTTGGCATGCATCTATAAGCATGGGAACTCCCTGGGGGTCCTCCACTTTGCATATGCATGCCATGGGAATCCTTGCTGCACCCTGAGTTGGGCATGGCATGTGGGGTCATTGTCCTGCAGAACTGGGGGTGGAACAGGCCTATCCTGTGAGACAAGGGCCTCGGTAAGGTCTGTACACCCCCAATAATCAGCCGTGCTTGGAGCTGGACCGGCACAGCTGATCCCACTCCAAAGACAATGCCTGTTGCTAGCCTGGGAGCTCTCCCACATTTGTCTGGGCTCCTTTCCACATGTTGACATGGGTTCTCAGCAGTGACTTGTTGCCAAACTATGAATCTGGTGTCCTGCTGGGGCAGTGCTAAGTATCTTTTGCCTTGTGAACTTAGATGAAACCGCTGTGAAGTCCAGCTATAGCAGTATTGTGGAAGGCTTTGTGGTTGCAAGCAGAGAGTACTGAGCCAAAGGTGTAACATGAACCCTAAGTAAAGTATTTAATGAAATGGATGAAGTCTGAGGAGAGCTAGAAACCAATGAAAATAAATGATCTTAACTGATGACCTCCTTCCAGCAATGTGCGTGTGTTCATTCATGCACCTTTGGTTTCATCAGGGCATAATTTAAGAGTAAGGGCAGCATCTACCTCCTTACAGGCCGGACAGAGCAAGGGAACTGCTGGCCTAGCAAAGACATGGGGAGCACAACCTTTTCAGACTTGAGACATCCCATTGAAAATGGCAGCCCTTATTTTTCACTTGGTTTTTTTTCTTTACTACAGAAAAATAATAAAGCAATTTTTCTGTTGCAGAGAATTTGGGGAAACCACAACAGACCTGAATGTGGTTTTTTTGTTTAATTTTGTTTTTTTCTTAACCCAGTGGTTAAGAAAACCTGTGCATTTGTCTTGTGAATCACGTTTGCATATCTAACAAACCTGGTTAAGAATCACTGGTGTATAGATTTTTTTTTTTTTTTGGCAGTCTTTTTTTTTGGGCTTAGCAAAGGCAACTGAAGGAAGGGTTGCATTTGTCAGGGCAAAACCTATATTTAGGAATATCT